TCAACGCTTAAGTCTACGGGCAGCACGTACTATATGGCCCGTGTTCGTGACGGGCACGTGAAAGAATATCTTGACTCGGAGACCGTCGCTTTCACGTGGCAAGATGATGGAAAGTTTATAACGTCAAAACAAACCAAAAAGAAGGAATGAAAAGTCCTTCCTGCCCATTTTTATATTTGCTTCCGACGACGACAATACCGGTTGCTGGAGACTTGGTGGACTGGACAGCAATGCGACGGGTAACCACAACCTTTGGCTATGTGGAGAAGCCACGTGATGATATGCTCTCGGTTCAGACCATACGAAGAGCCTGTTTGATCCAGGCAACTAAAATTTTAAAGCTAAATTTTAGCCAAATAAAAATTTTCTTAGCTAAATTTTATTTGGGGTGTTTGATTCTCTAATTAATCGACTCAGCTAAATTTTAATTAGATTTAGTTAGGTTCAAGTAGCTAAACTTAGCTAAACTTTATTTAGCTTATCTTTTAGTTGAACCGTTCGGATCTCTAACAGCTAAATTTAGATAGCTAAAGTTTAGTCAATGATCCAAACAGATCAAAGACGTGGCAGAGTATTTGGGTTTGTTTGATTAAATTAATTAGGATTAAAGTTTAGTTAGGTAGATAGACTATACAACTATTTTTTATTTACTTTTTATCTCACCCAGCATGTCCCGCTTACGGTTATTTTTCACTCTGTTCTCACCTGACCTCTTCCTCCTTCCTCTCCATCATTCCTCCGACCATACTACACCTAAATATGTATATGGCTGAGATGTGAGATGGTATATCTTAGCGGAATCCAACTGAACCTATGTCGTAGGGCCTACGGTATTTGCGTGTCCTAAATAAACGAAACTACAATAATGCACCGACTAATGGTCGGATTTCAATCTAACTTTGGTATTTGGCGATTTAGGCTCCGTTTGGCACAGATCCGGTTGGCTCCGGCTCTCACCTGCAAGAACACTGTAGCGCATTGTTTGTCGGAGTAAAAAATCTCTCTCTTCCCTCTTCCTCTCACAGGCCAGTAGGAGCCGGTGAAGCTAAAATTTTTTAGCTCCGGCAGCTCCATGTGTGTCGATGAGAGGGGAGGTGTGGATGTCGAAGAGGAGAGAGAAAAACAGATTTCAGCAACAGTATCTACACAGTGTTTATGTCAGAGGATCTCGAGCAACCGGAATCTCTACCAAAAACACCTTAGGTTCAGTTTAGATGCAAAAAATTTTACAAAATTTTTCAAGATTTCTCGTCACATTGAATCTTTAGACGCATGCACGAAGCATTAAATATAAATAAAAAATAAAACTAATTATACAGTTTAGACGAAATCCACGAGACAAATCTTTTAAGCATAATTAGACTATGATTAAACACTAATTATCAAATAACAATCAAAAACTGCTACAATATCATTTTGTCAAAATTTTTTGACATCTATACGACGGCTTTACATGGAGACCCAGCCCAACCCCTAGCCGACAAAGACTTCCAAGGGCCCACCTCTCATGAAAGCACATTATGTTTACGGGTGTACTTTTCAAAACATGCATGCACAATTATCTTATGAACACGCACACAAACATAACTTCTCTAAACACCTGCACCTCTATGGGACTGGTCTGCAAATGTTGAAATTGACAAAATTAACATAAACATCTAACTCTAATAGGTATGTTGTGTACTAAAAAAGAATAGTGTCATTATTTTTTATAATAAATAAATTCATAAAAATATGAACACCAATATTGAACCTATAGCGTAGTGATGAAAAAGGAACATATATTTTTCAATATTCGTCAGTCACAAAAGGAGCTCAGATACTAAATGGGTAATATGTATTAATATCCGATGCATCTGCTAACACTATATGTATCTTACTTTGAATCCAAGAAAGAAACAACTACTCATATTTATTATTAGTAACATTAGTTCGTATTTGATCTGGTTTTATTCCTACTATAACATGGGTGGATCATTCAACTAAAGAAACCTTTCTTAATTTGGTTTATCTTGCCTAACAATAACTTCTTATGTTTAGTTCGAAGATCTAAATCTAAATTTATAAATATATTTGCATTTATAAGTACTTTCGTAACCACAAAAATGTATTATACTCACTACGTTCTAAATAGTAAGTTGTTTTAGCTTTTCTATGCTATGTACCTAAATATAAGTGTCAGGGTCATAACTTCAAGGTGTCTCAAGGCGCCGATTAGTTAGCAGGCCACGCGGCCCGTAATACACCTGCTAGCGAAGGCCCAAACGATCGAAGTCCAGCCAAGCCGAGCAAACCAGGCCGGACGCTAAGGCCAGGGTCAGCTGCGACCCCTCCCCTTGCCTTAGCTGCACAGGGAGAGGTCGAGCCCGGCCAAGCATGCCTGTCAGCAGTCACCTCGGTCCGGTCAGACATCATCCCTATGCCACACCGCAAAGACAAGACAATACCACTCTAAAGCGATGACGACAAGTACGATGAGCACCGGCCAGATACGACCCGACAAGACGCAGGCACGACCCCACTCACTACGGGATGCGATCCACGACGAAGGCTTTGACTTAAAGATCATCCAGATCGACGGGGGGCCACGACCCCAGCGATTGGGATAGTGCCACAACTCCTGTACGACGTCCCAGGAAACCGAGAGACGATGACGAAGACCGCGGCGGAGAGCACGTCGCGCAGGACGGCTGGCGCATCACCCTCGTGCCTACAGTTCCACCACGGCATGCACAGTAGCACCGCGCCACGCCATGCCGCAACGTGTTCACAAGACCATGACGACAGTCACATCCGGACCTTGTTTTCAAGACGGCGTAGCTTGCAAACAAGTTAGTTAGGACCTTCCTCAGGCTCACGACCCTTCGGTCGAGAGAACCTCCTCCATTGTATGCATCCTGGCCCCAAACTCTATATATGGGCAGCTAAGGCACCCATCACAAGACATTCTGAGTCTCCTACTCATTCACTCACTCTCTATCGTAGCAAGCCCCTGAAGCTTCCCTTCTCCTAGCTTTAGCTCTTCTTCCTCTTCCACCATTCTTGTATCCCCATTGTAAAAACTTCAGAGCATTCAAGCGATGAACACGCACTCGATCATCTCTGAGACTGGACGTAGGGCTTCGGCCTGAACCAGTATAAATCCTCGTGACTTTTGAATGATACAATCGTCTTCCTAGAGCAGCGCGACAAACGTATAAGTTTACTAGTCCGGTTTATGAAACACCGACAATAAGCTATGTTTAGAAAAGCCAAAATGACTGAACAGAGGGAGTACATTACAAATATTATATAATTAAACATGATAATAAAACAAAATGAGTAAGTGATATCAATTTTTTTTACTTAAGAGATATGTGAGCTTGAGCATGTATATTTGTTGCCCCTTTTTATTTTGGTGCCAGCTGCCAAGGGTAGTTATCTAGCATTGCTAGCGGCCTACACTTTATACCTGAAAGCCCTAAGTTTGGTATTGGTAATTAGTTGTGACAACTAGTGGACTAATGTTTTTCAAATGTGTTGTGATTGAACTAGGTCCGCAGTTGGAGTGGTGCAACAAGGCTAGGATATGATAGTAATGTTGATCAAACCATATGGAGCAAGGCGCATTGGGCTAAACATGTGTAAGTAAAAAAAAAAAAGGATTCGATGCCATTATGATGAGTGCAATTGCCCCCCCTCTCTCTATATATACATGAGATGAACTCAGCTTGAAGCGCCGCTGAGGTGGTGAGTGTGCAGTCTGTACTCCTCCGTCCTATAATAAATAAGTTTCTAGAAATATTTAGACAAATTAAGGATATTACTAAAAGAGCATATGTACTCTCTCCTTTCCATTTTTGGAGGATATCTCTCGATTTTGGTAGTTATTATTTGCATACACCATGATTAGCTTCCGTATCAGGATGTAATGTTTCATGTTTACGTATAATGTTATTTTTTTGTGTGGATGGGGAGACAAATTGTAAACCTTAGAAAAATATTTATTTTGGGACGAAATGAGTATGCGTGTTTCCTAGCTTGGATGGCAATTTGTTGGTGTTCATAGGACACCCAGACCGTTCGCTTGCTGGTTTTAGCCAGCTCAAATCAGCCAGCCAACAGTATTTTTCTCTCATAACAAACCAACACCCGCCAGCCCAAATCAGCTCAGAAACCAACCAGCGAACACGCCGACCGTCTAATGACAAGGGGGATACCACTTTGTTTTGAATAGACAAGATGAAAGTCTGCAAATTTGTTGCTGTGTAATGATAAATCTTTTACCTAACAATACGGCCCCATTCGTTGGTCTGAAACTTGAGCTGAAACCGACTGAAAAACACTGTTCCGGCTGAATTGTTGTGAGAGAAAAATATTGTTTCGACTGAAAAAAAAAGTCCAACAAGCCAAATATGGGGTAAGCCGAACAGGGCCTACATGTTAACATGTGCATATGACTCATTCGAAACTATAGAGGGCTTAGTTGAACATAAAAAAAAAAGTCCAGCTGAAGAAATAGGCGTGGCTCCCGTCGTGCCGCAGGCTAGGCTTTGCCTTACTTCTCAGCAAAGAAGAATGTTTTATTCTCCCATCAATATAAGCTAAATTTTAGCGAAACCAGGGCTTTCGGAGGAAAAGTCATGATAAGATGAAAAAGAGGAGTGGTTGCGCCGGCCGGCAACAAAGTAAACGGTGACTGGATGCTGCACCCACATGTCACAAAGTCCTCGATGTTACGGGCCAGTCCTCCTCATCACGTCGTAGGATACCAAAGAAAGCAGGAGCCAGGAGCTGCCACAGACATCAGCTATTTCACGGTTTGACGCTGGTGAGGTGACGCGCGCATAGAAAAGCAGCTCCACTCCACTGTCCACTTGCTTGCTGCCTTGGCGGTCAGAGAGCCTGAAGTTTCCTGGTAGGCACGCACAGTGTGACAGCTCACGGACATACTAGTAGCCTACCTGCTAGTCATCTCCTGCTCACTCACATTGGCACCGTCGCAGCCGTACGTAGCTGCCATGGCGGAGCACGGCAACAGGGCTGTGGCGCGGTGGCGGCGGTGGGCGGTCGCCAACCTGGGCTCCTTCTCCGCCCTGTTCACCAACACCACCAGCTTCGGCTCGGCGTGGCTCATCCTGGCGCCGGTGGTGTCGCTGGTGGCCACCTACGCGCCGCGGCGGCTGTTCCTGACCTACTTCAACCTCTTCCTCCGCCGCCGCGCGCGGCGCCTGCTCAACGCCGTGGACCCCTACGTGACCATCGACATCTCGGAGCCCGGCGGCGAGGTGCGGTACTCCCGGTACGGCCCCGTCTCCGACAGCGACAGCACCTACGAGGAAGTGAAGGCGTACCTGAGCGGCGCCGCGTGCTCGCAGGACGCGCGCGAGCTCCGCGCCGAGGGAGCCAGGGAGGGCAACGGCCTCGTCGTCAGCATGCGCGACGGCCAGGACGTCGCCGACGAGTTCCGGGGCGTCTCGCTCTGGTGGTCCTCCGTGGTCCAGAGGGACGTGCAGGGCCAGCGCAAGGCGGACAGGCGGTTCCAGCGGCTCACCTTCCACCTCCGCCACCGCGGGGTCGTCATCGACGAGTACCTGCCCCACGTCCGCCGCCAGGGCCGCGAGATCCTCTTCAGCAACCGCCACCGGAGGCTCTACACCAACATCAAGTCACGCGACTCCTTGTACGCATCATTCAGCAGAACAACTCACAAACTATTTCGATCCATTTGATTGCTGATTTCATTTGCATCCATGGTGGCATGATGATCTGATCATCTGATCCGTCCAAGGAGCAGCTACGAGTCCAAGTCATGGAGCTACATCGACTTCGACCACCCGACGACGTTCGACACGCTGGCCATGGACCGGGCCAAGAAGAGGGACATCATGGACGACCTCGACACGTTCCGGAACAGCAGGGAGTTCTACCGGCGCGCCGGCAAGCCGTGGAAGCGCGGGTACCTCCTGTACGGGCCACCGGGCACGGGCAAGTCCACCATGGTCGCCGCCATGGCCAACTACCTAGACTACGACATCTACGACGTGGAGCTCACGGTGGTGCACACCAACAGCGACCTCCGCAAGCTCCTCATCGAGACCACCAGCAAGTCCATCATCGTCATCGAGGACATCGACTGCACCCTCGACGTCACCGGCGACCGCGCCAGCAGCAGCAGCAGGCCGCGGCGGCGAGAGGCCGACGAGAAGGAGAGGCCGCCGCGCGACACGACGGTGACCCTGTCCGGCCTGCTCAACTTCATCGACGGGCTCTGGTCGGCGTGCGGCGGCGAGCGGATCGTCGTGTTCACCACCAACCACGTCGAGAGGCTGGACCCGGCGCTGATCCGGCGCGGCAGGATGGACATGCACATCGAGATGTCCTACTGCCGGTTCGAGGCGTTCCAGACGCTCGCCAAGAACTACCTGGACGTCGACGACCACGAGCTGTTCGGCGCCGTCGGGGAGGTGCTGCGGGAGGAGAACCTCACGCCGGCCGACGTCGCCGAGTGCCTCATGGCGGCCAGGCGCGCAGGCTCCGGCGAGCCTTCTCGCTGCCTTGAGATATTGATCGATGAGCTGAAGAAGAGAGCGGTGGAGAAGGCCAAGGCCGAGGCAGAGGCTAAGGCGAGAGCAGAGGCAGAGGCCAAGGCGTGGGCGGAAGCAGAGGCCAGGGCGGCGGTGGAAGCAAATGCGGCCGCAAGGGACCGTGGCAACCCACGGTAACTCTGAACACGATGAACAGAAAGTTTGGATTCCTGAGAATTTACTAGTAGCAATCCGGAAGGCCTGTTTGAATGCCTTTAGGATTTTGAAAAATCAGATAAAATTTTAGGATGTGCAAACGGTAGAGTTTCTAGAAGGGGTGAGAATAATCATATGACTGGATTCTTAATACCCGAATCCATCAGTCTCAGCTGCTTTAGGTCCTGTTTGAATCTTGAGGGATTTTAAGAATTTAAATAAAAATATCTAATATGTTTTATTAGATTCTGTGTCTGTAGTTAAAATTCAGTTGGGGTTCTAAGATTTTTTTTTCTAGATTTTCAAAATCTCTAAGGATTCTAAGAGTTTTTAGATTTTTCTTCTTCTCTTCAAGCATGAAAAGGCGAATCTACCCTGCCTTTATATTCTCTTCTAGAAGCGCACGCTGGACAAAAAGCTCTTTGAGCTGGCTTGGTGGCTCGTCTCAAAAGTGCTTTAATTGAACTCATTTTTCTTTTTATCTTTTATAAAATGAAATTGACTTGATTTTGAATGAAATTAACTCATTTTTCTCAAAAGCTCTAGAAGCGCACGCTCCTCCCTCGGCTTGTTAAGCTTGGTGTCAGTTGGGTCTTAGCATCCCTCCAAACCAATGTCCTAGCATTTGTTGCCTACCACGGTGCTTATTGAACAGGGCCCGAAGAACAACAAAATAAACTCGAAAAAAATAGTTTGGCTCAAGACCAGCCCCGTGTATTTATTTCACATATTTCTACACACAAAATATCGACGTGACGGATCGGATATGATTTTTCAACCCATGAAAAACCACCTCTTTTTTTTCCGGTCTGATCGAGAGAATCTCCAAAAGTCTTCCTAAAATCTACTTTCTAAATCATCGTTTGGAAAGTCATCTGAGTAAAACCGCTTTCTATATTTTTTTACCCTCCAATAGCTTTTTTGTGTATATTGTGCACACCGTAGAGAATCATGAGTCATCCCCGCTCTTCATCTTTAGCTAGTAAGAAATCTTAAATAAAGAATGTCTACATTTGAAGATTTAATAAAAAATTGTTGGAGAGTACTTTTTTTTTACCAAAAATCTTGATTTTTGTAAATTAGAAAGGATATAAGCTGCGTGTCGCTACCCATGACCGTGCTGTCACAGTGCGCGCGTGCCTGCTAGGAAACTTCAGCCTCTCTGACCGCCAAGGCAGCAAGCAAGTGGATTAGTGGAGCTCCTAGCTTTTGCCCTGTTTTTCTATGCGCGTGTCACCTCACCAGCGTGAAACTGAAGTAGCTGATGTCAGTGAGACAGTGAAAAAGTTCAGAAAGTGTGATCAGCTCCTGGCTCCTGCTTTAGGCCCCGTTGGTTTTATAGCAGGAAGAGTTGCTGGTCGAAATTGCTATTTAATTTGTATAAGCTTTCAGCAGATGGAATGATTTCTGGCGTGATTTTGCATGAACCGAACGGGCCCTTATACTAGTAGTATCCTACGACGTGATGGCAAGGATTGGCCCGTTACATCGAGGACTTGTGACATATGGGTGCAACATCCAGTCACCGTTTACTTTGTTGCCGGCCGGCGCAACCACTCCTCTTTGCCTTGCCTATGCTGTCCACAACCGCACTTTTTTTTATGTTCAACTAAGCCCTCTCTCTGTACTTACGAATGAGTCACATGCATATGTTAACATATTGTTAGGTAAAAGATTTATCTTTTTTCTCGAATACGCAAGAGCGTTGCGTATCTTTGTGTTAAGTAGAAAATAGAAAGGTTTTACAAATGACCGGCACCTGGCCGACAGCCCAGGGGTGCTACATTTTTGAATACAACTTTGAAACCTCGGTGGGCAGCGGGCTACCCCCTGATGCCAAACTCCCAAGGTCCTTTGTCCCCACCTGAATCCACTGGTCGGCCTGAGCTTTAATGACCATCAGTAGCTCATCTATCGTGGACGTGGCCTCTCAGAAGCAGTGAGCGTTCCGTTCCTTCCAAATTTCCCAGGAGACGAGGCCGAATAGGGAGTCAAGGCCCTTGTTGTGCTGCTGATTCCAAGTTTATCGCAGCCGTCTCCACCAAGCATAGACTGACTGCTCCAATGGCGGTAACTGGTGTCCTAGAGCTTGGCAGATGCGGAACCAAAGTTCTCGTGCGAAGGGGCAGCAACACAGAATGTGATCAATTGTCTCCGGCGCCTGGTCGCAGAGGTAACACTCTTCTCTCGCCTTGAGTCCATGCCTTGCCCGGCGAACATTAGTCCAGTGACGCCTCCGGAATGCGAGCCATAGGAAGATTTTAACTCGAAGTGGCACCCAAGTCTTCTTCCAGATGAGAGCGTGGCCTCGGAACGGGATTGAACCTGTGTGTAGCCTAGTGTAGGCTGATTGGCGCAGTAGTTCCCGTCAGCGCCCGGCGCAACACGGTCTTATCCGGCTCTTCACCGAGGATGGTATGGTCCTTCGCCTCCCACTGGGGCTAGATACTCGCCGGTCTTTGTCGTTGTCGTCATGGAGCCCGAGAACGCAGCGTCCGTCCTCTCGGTTGTTAGCCCTTGGCGCGACGAGTGAGGCATTTTCGACCTGCTGGGCACAGGTGCACCAAGGTTGGAGCGATGTCGACGGCGCGGTGCCCTCGATCCATCGGTCATCCCGAACTTTGTGTTCCGCCCGTCGTCGATGACCGTGTAACTTGATGCTCTGAAGAAGGCCTGTACTTCTGGGTCTATGTTGATCGGCAACTCACTCTAGGCGCGTGAGCTGTCTGTTTTCTGCAGCCAAAGCCACCTTGTCTGCAGCGTGAAGCCGGCAAGCTTAAGGTCGTATATACATTAACATATATAGTCTATTCGGACAAAGTGGTATTCCCCTTGTCATTAGACGATGCCCTATGAACACCAACATATTCTCGTCCAAGAAAATACACATACATTGATTAATGATTGCATACTCGCCACTTCAGTGGCGCTTTCTCACGAGTTCATCTCGGGGGGAGAATGAGAGAGAGGTAATTGCAATCATCGTAATGGCATCTAGTCATTTTTTCTGTTTTGATTCATATATATGTTTAAGATGCACAATGAGTCAATTATTTGTTGCAGGATGTTATCCATGTCAATGGATATTCCTTTGGAGCTTGGTTATGGATATTTAGCTTGATGAGTACTTGCACCATATATAGGTGCCCTCATAAGTACGACTGTCTAGAAGATTAACCCCATATCCAACTTTAACGGCCGGTCGGATAGGAGCTTTAGCCTACACCCAACAGATGTGCTGCAAGCATCATGATCTCTAAGGGACGAGATCTCCCATACAACCGGATGGAGAGTGTTTGACGAGAGAGACCACCCTCGATGAGAGGAATCGACCCCTCAATGCTTGCCACTTGGAGCACAATGAAGGGGTCCAACAAGGTGGTCTCGAGTCGAGCACACGTTCGCCACTTCTTGAGGTAGAGACACATGCGTCAAAGTCAAATGTAATAGTGCAAGAAACAAGAAACACCGCGCCTCGTATTGTGGTTGCCTAGTGTAGAATTGAATCACACTTGAGCCTCTTTCTTTAAATTGTAGTGTCGTCGATTTGATCTTCACCATTTGAGGGCCTTGAACACTGCTATTGTTGTGAGCATGTCCTCCTTGAGCATGTGACTCAGGATCTCTCAGACCATATGATCAAGACTATACTTTCATCCATAAGTCATTTCTTCGTATGATTGAACAAATATTTGATCCTCCACATAGCATGACCACTCATAGCAATTAGTTCATGGGCTCATTGCAAGTACTCTCTTATTCACTTTAGCCATCACACCTTGGCCATCAAGCAGTCACTTGCCATTTACCTTGACTTAGTACCTCAACACCCTTTCCTTGCTACGTTCACCCAATCGAGCCATTCTCAAGTCACAACATGCCTTGAATCAACATTAAACATATTTTGAATTTCATTTGTTTAAGAGTAAAATGCACGAGCAGTCCTTAAACTTGTCTCCTCATGTCATTCAGCTCTCAAATTGCATTTTGAGGTACCCAAACTTGTTTTAGGGTGTCATTGTCACAATATGTCATCTAGTCCCAAATAATCTCCAACCAGCCAATGTGTTGGTTTGTAGCACTCCATCTACATGCTCTCCATTTCTCTTCTACCTCCATCTCCATTCTCTCCCACTCTCTTCGCTTTCCAATCTAGTGTGGCATAGTCACCAACTCACCATCCCCAACCCATGCATTCATCATCGTCCACATCAAAGGCCATGACATGCCATCGGTAATGGTGGCGGCAAGGCCAAAGCTAGTGCTCCTTAGGCGAAAGAGGTGGACAAACAATTGCTTTGCCATTAAGTTCCTACCATGGTCAAGAATCAGGTGTGGATCCAACCACTATGGCAGTGGTGTCATGATACGGTGTAGATCAGGTCTATTTGGGCCTATGACACACTACGGCAAGTTCTGGGACCTGGATAACACACTAAGACAAGTTCGGGGACCTAAAAACAACAACCAAAAGAGTGGGACCTAGATGACACACAAAGACAAGATTGAGGACCTAAAAATGCATTTTAAGAGTTTGGGGACTTGAGTGACACCCCAAGACAAGTTGAAGGACGCCCATGTATTTTTACTCTTTCTTCAATATTATGTCTCTTACTTGAATGTCTTTATGTCTATCAATTTTGATATCAATCAATCTTCCATAGGATTCACCATTTCTTTTGACCAATATAAAATTCAGAATTAATATTCTTGGATTGATTTGGCAAGCGCTCTTCATGTGAGACCAACCCATATGTAATATATCATGTCTCTATTTTTCTTTAGCCTATTCACCCCCTCTCTAGTTCTCCATCTCGACCCTACACAGTGGCAAGTGTGTAACTTTGGTGAAAAGATGAAAGTGGAAGCAAGTTGTTGGGTTTCCATGAGAATTGTAAGTGGAGGAAAAGATGCTTTTTCTTTGTAGTAGAACCTAGTATCCATTCCATCTATTTGGTTGGCTTTTAGCTTTTTTGTTAACA